GGTAAATGCGGTATCGCGTCCTCCCACAACCACATCAAAGTTACAACTAAACTACAGAACAACCATCATTCAAAACCGCCTGAAATCATCCTGAATGGAAGTCCTACAACTACGGGATTAAAGCAGCAGCCACATCCAGACTGGTAGGAGGGGCGGAGGCGGAAGGGCTGGTCCCACACCCATGTGTGCAGATAAAAATCAGGAGGACACCTCGGCTAGGAAGGTCCTTCCTGAGGACTGAGGGATCCCTGTCCCACACCAGGTGCCCCGCTCAGGGTTCCAGTGCCAGGAAGAGAATCCCCATAACTTCTGGCTGGAAAAACCAGCGGGAACTGAGGCTCAGGGAGGCTGAAGCGGCTGGAACCCCAGGCAGCTCGTTAAAGGGCCCCGCGCACAGACTTGTCGGACTCTCTCCCTCTAAGCTTGGAGGGGAGGCAGCTCGAGGGGCACCAGAGACATACAGGGAAGAACTGAGCTGTTTGGCACTGGAGCGAGGGCTGGGGAGGGGGCTTTCTCCGGGACAAATGAGCTATCAGAGGCCTTTGTTCCTTTGGTGAGTCCTTCCCTGGGGCCGCAGACAGTCGCCATATCTGGGACTCCAGCAACCTGGCTCACACTGGTAGCCCAGCCCTACTGACTCCCTGAGGCCCCACCCCACCCAACTTTCAGGCGCACCCAAGCTGTTGCCACTTGCTTAACCATAGGATTAGCCTGTATTGGATCCTGCTTCAGGTTTTTCCTAAATTCTTTCAAACGAGCAGCATCTGGTCTCAGCTAGCCCCATACCTCTCATTAGGTAATATGTAAAAACAAACATAGGGAGGCAGCCAAAATGAGAAGACAAAGAAACAGATCCCAAATGAAAGAACAGAACAAAACCCCAAGAAAAGAACTAAGTGAAATGGAGATAAACAACCTAACAGATGCTGAGTTCAAAATACTGCTTATAAGGATGCTCAATGAACTTAGTGAGGGCCTCCAGAGCATAAAAAAGGACCAGTCAGAAATCATGGATGCACAGTTGGAATTGAAGGAGGCATTAACTGAAATGTAGAATAATTTACACAGCTTCAGTAGTAGAGTACATAAATCCAAGAAGCAAACCATCGATTTGGAATATAAGGAAGCAAAAAACGCCCAATCAGAACAGCAAAAAGAAAACAGAAGCCAAAAAAATAAGGATAGTGTAAGGAGCCTCTGGGACAACTTCAAGCGTGCCAACATTCGCATCTTGGGGGTGCCAGAAGGAGAAGAGAGAGAACAAGAAATCGAAAACCTGTTTGAAACAATAATGGCAGAAAACACTCCTAACTTGGTGAAGGAAACAGACATACAAGTCCAGGAAGCACAGAGAGTCCCAAACAAGACGAACCCCAAGAGGCCCACACCAAGACACATCATCATCAAAATGCAAAAGGTTCAAGACAAAGAGAAAATCTTAAAAGCAGCAAGAGAAAGGTAGCTAGTTACCTACAAGGGAGTTCCCATAAGGCTGTCAGCTGGTTTCTCAAAAGAAACTTTGCAGGCCAGAAGGGAGTGGCAAGAAATATTCAGAGTGATGAAAAGCAAGAACCTACAACCAAGATTACTCTATCTGCAAAGCTGTCATTTAGAATCGATGGCCATATAAAGACTTTCCCAGACAAGAAAAAGTTAAAGGAGTTCACCACCAAACCGTTAGTGTATGAAATGATGAAGGGTCTTTTTGAAGAAAAAGATAAAATATGTGAACAAACAAAATGGCAATGAATACATATCTATCGACAATGGAATCTACAAACAAAATGAACAGGTAGAACAGAAACATGCTCATAGATACAGAGAACATATTGTTGGTTGCCAGATGGGAGGGGGGTTGGGAGAATGGGTGAAAAAGGTGAAGAGATTAAGAAGTACAAATTCATTGCTGGACTGACGGCCTCGGAGGGAAGGGGGTTGGAGGGGTGGGAGGAAATAAACCAAAGAACTTATATGCATAGCCAATGGACACAGACGGTAGTGTGGAAAAAGGAGGGAGGGGGGCGGGAGTGGGGAGGAGGGGGTCAATGGGGGAAAAAAGTGGAACATCTGTAATACATTCTACATTCAACAATAAAGATTTAAAAGAAAAAAGAAAAATGGTACAGCTAATTTGTAAGAAAATTTGACAGTTCCTCAAAATGTTAAATATAGCCCTGGCCATTGTGGCTCAGTGGGTTGAGCATCCTCCTATACACTGACAGGTTGCTGGTTTGATTCCTGGTCCTGGCACATGCCTAGATGTTATGCTGTCACATCGATGTTTCTCTTTTTCTCTTTCTTTCTTCCTCTTTCTCTAAAAATCAATAAAAACATTTTTTTAAATCCCCACTCAAGGATATTTTTCCATTGATATTTTTTAGGTAGAGTGGAAGGGAGGAGGGAAGGAGAGAGAGAGGAACATCGATGTGAGAGCATAACACTGAAGCCACAATCTGGGTAAGTGCCATGATGGGAATTGAACCTGCAGCTCTTTAGTCTGTAGGCTGATGCTCTAACCTCTGAGCCAAACCAGCCAGGGCAATCAATAAAAACATTTTTTTATTTCTTATTTTATTAAAAAATTTTTTTCTTTATCGATTTTAGAGAGAGAGGAAGGAAGAGGGAGAGAGAGAGAGAGAGAAACATCAATGAGAGAGAACATCGATTGGCCGCCTCCTGTGTGCCCCTCCTGGGGATCTGGCCCACAACCACAATTGGGCATGTGTCCTGACTAGAAATTGAACTGATGACCTCTTGGTGCGTGGGTTAATGCTCAACCACTGAGCCACACCAGCTGGACTAAAAACATTTTTAAAAAAAGACTAAAGGCCCTGGCCAGTTTTGCTCAGTGGTTAGAGTGTTGGCCCAAGGACTGAAGGGTCTCGGGTTCGATTCTTGGTCAAGGGCACGTATCTGGATTGCAGGTTTGATCCCTGGCCCTAGTCAGGTCATGCGGGAGGCAACCAATCCCTGTGTCTCTCTCACATTGATGTTTCTCTCTCTCTCCCCTCTCCTTTCCTTCCACTCTTTTTAAAAATTAATGGAAAAATATCCCGAGGTGAGAATTAAAAAAAAAAGATTGAATGAAAAGCTAAATATAGACTCAACAATTCTACTCCTAGGTGTCTACTCAAGATAAATGAAAATATATGCCAATACAAAGCTTGTTCAAGAATATTCATAGCAGCATTGCTCATAATCACTAAAAAAATAAAAACAACAAAATATCCTTCAACTGATGGATGAGAAAACAAAATATGTATATGTTTAAAGGAATATTAGTTGGCAATAAAAATAAAGTAATGATACATTCTACAACATTAATTAACTTTGAAAACATGAGAAGTGAAAGAAGCCAGACAGAAAAGGCCACATATTATATGATTCCATTTATACGAAATGCCTAGAATATGCAAGTCCATAGAAACAGAACGTAGATTTATAGTTTCCAAGGACTAGGGGGAAGGAGGGATGAGGAGTGACTGCTAATGGGGATGGGATTTTTTTTTGGTGGGGTGGGTACAGAAATGTTCTAAAATTAGATTGTGATGATGGCTGCACAACGATACTAGGAAACTGAATTGGACACTCTAAATGGGTAGATTGTATGGTATATGAATTATATCTCAATAAAGCTGTTAAGAAAATAGTTATTGACATATGTAAACACCTCGGGTGAGGATCAACAACAACAAAAAATATGTAAACATATCCCAAGGGAGTGTGTGGAGCTTAAGCCCTGCTCAGAAAGCAAGAGAAAATAAGAAGTTGAAGTGAGGGCCCAGCCCAAACAGGGTGTGTGTTTCAGGAGAACCCTGGGTAGAGGAAGTGGTGTGTATATAAGCAGAGAGCAGAGATGGTAACTGGGGTCTGAAGAGGAGACCAAGTGCCTCAAAGAATTTTGCCTGCTTCAGTTTTATCAAGGGCCAGCCTTTGGGTGATCTCTGAAAGAAGGTCCCAGAGCCTTGAGGTGGAGAGTCTATGATGTCAGCACCTGACCTTTGTGACATAGGCACTAGGTCATGGAGAACTGCCCCCTGAAATAGGGCTCTTAGCTCCCAAGGCGGGTGGCAACGCCACCCCTTAGACAAAGTCCCAGCCTCCCAGAGGCATTCATCAGCTAGCCCCACTGCTCCCGCTCCTGCTGGGTGTGATAAGCCATATTGAGTAGGGACAGGCTGAGCCAGAGGACATCAGCACTAGGAGTAACAAGGGGTCGGGGGAACCAGAGTGGCAGGAAACCAGGATGCTTGCAGAATCCCTGACTCAGGTTTAGGAGAAAAGCCTGTAACAGAAGACCTCCACCTGGCCAAAGGAGGACTGAAGGCAAGGCTCAGACAGAAATCTGGGTCAGAGTGAGTTTAGGGTAAAGGGGCAGAGAGGGGTGGATCCATTCTTTCGTGACTATTCCTCTTTCTCTCAGGTTCCCTCATTTCTGAAGTACCTTGTGAAACATAGCCCAGAGGAACCCTCATGGGTAAGGGCTTATAATGCCAGAACATCCTCGATTCCTAGTCCCATCTCAGCCCTCATATCCTAAATCCCCTTCTCTGATTCCATCTCACCCTTCTTCCCTCCCTAGTTCTCTCCTCAGTTCTAACCTTCCCTGGAGCATTCTGCCAGCTCTTCTGACCCCAAAGGTGACATGGGTTTAGGGTGTTAGTGAACCAGCCTGGAACTGGCCCCTGAGGCAATTCTCCCAATATCTTGGGCTCTGTTTCTTTCTCTACAGGTCCTGTGGGCTGTGTCTTCCTCCCTGGCCCATTCAGAAAATTGCTGCTGCCCTGAAACTCCCAAGAGGCTGCTCTGATTCTCCTCCATCCCTATACATCCTTCATCAATGGCTAACTGCAAAGAAGTGAGAAGCCAAGTTTAGATCTGAACTCCTGCCTGAACACTCCAAGAGCCTGGTGCTACTGGACTGTCTTCCTAGGCTGGTCCTGACTGCTAGGTCTCTAATCTCTGGTCTTGACGCCTCAGCCCTTTCCAGTTTTAAGGCGATGTTGCCTCAAAACAAGGACCAAGTGCTGCTACAGAACACAGCAGCCCCTGGGTGTCCCCTTCCGGGACCCTCACAACTTGTGGACTCCCTTCCCCAGAACCTCCAGCCTTTGCCTCCCCAGAAATCACTCCCTCCCTCCCACCCACCTTGCTCCCCTCCTCCACAGTCCCACTCTCCTGGCTCCCATTTCTACTCTTCTGACTCAAATTCTGACTTTGTCCTACATCCCTACTCTTCCTCTCTCCCAAGTTCCTCCACTTTCTTTCCTCAGAATTACCTGTCCGTCTCTCTTCCAGGTTCCTCCTCTCCCTCCTACCGGCTATACCCCTCTCCTCCCCCTACTCACTCTAATCCTTCTCAATCACAGAACTCCCCTCTCCCACACTGCCAGTCTCCTTCTCACTCTGAAGACCTGCCTAGCTCCACTCTCCCTTCCCAGAACCCCAGCCTACCTTCTCCTGGGGTCCACTCTAATAGGCAGACATGGCACTGGCATCAGTACCAGGAAACCAAGTCTCCTGGGGTGGTGGGGGAATGCGTGGCAAGCGAGAGGGACCCTGCAGAGTTCAGGCACCCAGGAGCCCTGGCCCAGGCCCTGGTGGTTCACTTGGGGCACCGCCGCATCGCGCACGACCTTCGGTTACTGCTTTTGCAGAGCCTGTGGCTAGGCAGAGCCGACAAGCCTCCAGTGGTGGAGTATCCTATATGCCTGGTGTGTCTCCGGCCCCGAAGTCCCTCTTGCCCCATCCCCAGGTACAGGACTGGACCCCGGCTGCTTGCCTTTCCCCAACTGCTGCCCTGTGCACAAGGCCAGGAATCCAGACCACTCCGCATAGGCATTGGCTTTGGCCTCCGCCTGCCTCGTGGTCAGGCCAGAGCTTTGCATTTGTTGCCAGAAAGAAAGCAGGAGGAAGCAGGACCTCAGGGCGAGGCCACTCAGGCCCGTGGGTATCAAACCCAGGCATCTCAGGCCCCAGCAGCTCAAGCCCCAGCAGCTCAGGCCAGGGCACATTCAGCCTCAGGCAAACCCTCCCAGACCGGGAGCCTCAGTTCTGCAGGCCCTCAATCACCAAACCCCACTCCGTGTTCAGGGCCTCCACTTCCAGCACCCAAACAGGCCGCTGTCTCCCTGAAGCCCAGTCTTTCCTCTGCTCCAGAAGGGCCTGCCTCTCCAGAGCCTGTTCTCCAAACGTCTCCACCCTTGTTCCAGAACCATGGAGGCTCACTGGAGTACCTCCTCCAAACTCTACTGTCCCCATCAGACCCCAGATCTCAGAAAGCCCCCGAGACACCCTGAAGGGCTGGCTGACTGGAGGTCAAGTGTGCTCTCCAGCCCTGAACCCTGGAAGTCCCTTGTGGAGTCTGCTCTCTCCTGGCTGAAGAGGACCAAGGGCACTCAAGGCCCCATTCAGCCTTTAATGTATCCAATAAAGCCTAACACTGCAAAATGTATGTTTGTGTCCTACTGAGCAGGCACTGTGGGTACCTACATGGGAGCCAGAACCTAACGGGGTAGGGGAGAGTCAAAACAGAGTGGCCAGGGAGAGTGGATACCTTGTACCTGAAAAGGGCATGGGGCCCACAAGGCCTGAGCACCTGAAATGTGCAGAGGGCTCTGGCTGGTCCTTCATACATTTAATTCAGTTTGGTGAGACAAATAATGGCATCCCCAAAGAAGAAGCCACTGAGTCCCTTCCTCTGGGTGCACCTTAGGTTAACAAGGATCATGCTGATGAGGCCAGGGGAGCAACAGGAGGTGTCTCCTTGCGGGAAAAGGCACTCCTACCATTCACTTGCAGAAAACCACCAGGGCCCCCACATTGGAGATCAGAAACCTGAAGGGGTCAGGAGGGTGGAGTGTCAGGTACAGATGAGATCCGCGCTGCTGGGGCCCCGGTTGCCAGTCTCTGAGGATGTCAGAAGAGAGCAGTCCCCACCCACAAATCCTTGGGCACAGGAGCAGGGTTGGAGCCATGAGAATGGCCAACTCCCACTGCTGCCAAGCATGGACAGGTGTTAAGGTAAATCGTTTCCTCATATTAGGAAGTGGTGGATTCAGGATTCGAAGCCAGATCTGTTTTAAAGTCTACACTGCCTCAATTAAGAGACAAGAGCCCTGGCCGGTTTGGCTCAGTGGTTAGAGCATTGGCCTGCGGTCCAGAGAGGTGGGGTTCGGTTCCCGCTAAGGGCACGTACCTTGGTTGCAGTTTGTCTGTGGCCCTGGTTGGGTTGTACGGGTGGCAGCCACTCATCAGTGTTTTTACATCAATGTTTCTCTCTCTCTCTCTGTTCCTCTCCCTCCCTCCCACTCTATCTGTACAAAAATTGGAAGGGTGTCCTCCGGTGAGGATAAAATAAATAAATAAATAGGCAAGAGACAGTCACGTTTCCAGTGTGAGAACTTGGGACAAATCACTTCCTCTGGAGTAAAACGTAAAGGCTGCGCTTGTATAAGTGTGCGTATCTGTCTTGCAGGTAGGCAGCCCTAGTCCAAGGATTTATTTAAGGTTTATTAACCTCCCTTAACCTTCATTAGATCCCACACCTCCTGAATCACCAAAGATGTTCCGGCGATGCAAGAGCGCTCTGCTTCCGCCCCGCAAAAAGATGGCGGCGTCTGACGTCACAATGGGGGCGGAAAACGGAATCCTGGAGTTGGTCGGTCGCCGGGCGACCAACTAATGCTGACGCGTATTGGCGGTTCTGCGCCTGCGCGAGGAGAGCGGCCTAGGAGCGCTTGCGTACTAAGCGTCAGCGACCGGGTGGAACGGCCCGGGGCAGAGACTCCAACTGCTGTGTGTGGGTAGAATTGGGCAAGTCCCCGGGTGTGAGAGGGGTCGGGAGTCCTCCCAGCGGCGACCGAATCAAGCTCAACAGCGGCGGCAGGGGCAAGAGTCGAAGGCCGGGTGTGGCATGTCCCGGGTGCCGCGGTGCCGCCAGTGAAGTGCGCGGCGAGCGGGATGGGTCGGCGCCGGGCGCCAGAGCTCTACCGGGCCCCGTTCCCGTTGTACGCGCTTCAGGTGGACCCCAGCGCCGGGCTGCTCATCGCTGCGGGCGGAGGAGGCGCCGCCAAGACGGGCATAAAGAATGGAGTGGTAAGAGCGCAGGGCCGCCAGGCCGGGTCACACCATGGGCTGAGGGCGATTCAGGGAGTTTCAGATCCTGTCCCTACCCACCCCGGCAAGCTGGGTATCCCGACGCGAGTTTCAGCTGAGAACTTAATCACAGGGCTATTAGAGACTCCTAAGGTAAAGTGAAAATTGTCCAGAGCGCTGCGTCAGCGCTTAAGCTTGATCTCAAGAGCAGCCCGGGGGTCTTACTCTAGCCTTTTCCGGGGAGGCCACATTGACTGCCTTTCAACAGCAGCCACAGCCTTGCATTTGGCCCTTAGGCTAGGTTTTCTTCACTCTTTTAAGCGTCACCCAATTGCTCTGTAAACTGGAGGTCATGATCCCAACCCTGCCTGCTGTACAGATTTGTGAGGTTCAAAGAAAGGGGTGGGGGTGGGGTTTGGAGAAAGCCTTGTGAATTATAAAGTGCGGTAAGCAAAGGGTTAGGGTATCAGACCATAGGATGCAGGTTTGCCCTTGAGGTAAACTCTGGGCACCCCTGAACCTTGCTCATCTTGGTTCCCTCTCACAGCATTTTCTGCAGCTAGAGCTGATTAATGGGCGCCTGAGCGCCTCCTTGCTACACTCCCATGACACAGAGACACGGGCTACTATGAACTTGGCACTGGCCGGCAACATCCTTGCTGCAGGGCAGGATGCCCACTGTCAGCTCTTGCGCTTCCAGACCCACCAGCAGAAGAGCAAAAACAAGGCAGAGAAGACAGGTGAGAAGCAGGCTGTCTAGCTTTTGGGGAAAAGATTAAATTAATAAGATCATTCTCATTTTGGTTTCTGAAAAAGTGGGGCTGGAAGTGGAGTTAAGGTAGCAGGTGGGAAGCTGATGTTCACTAGGCGTGTAGAGGGCCAGTATTACTTACTTACAGAAGCCTGGAATCTGGTGGACTGTATTACAGATTCCAAGGAGCAGGGGCCTCGGCAAAGAAAGGGGGCAGCCCCAACAGAGAAGAAATCTGGAGCTGAAACCCACCAGGAGGGGGTAGGACTGAGAGTGGAGAATTTACAGTCGGTGCAGACAGACTTCGGCACTGATCCACTGCAGAAAGTTGTATGCTACAACCACGATAATACCCTGCTTGCCACTGGAGGGACAGATGGTTATGTTCGTGTCTGGAAGGTATGGTCTAAGAGGTTAGGGAGGGTGTGTGTCAGTAGCAGGGCCAGAACTGTGAGAAACCCAACGTGGGTTCTGGGAACTTGTGAGTGAAGTCGGCACTGAGTGGCCATTAGAAGAGAAGAGGGTGGAGATCATTACGCTCTTGCTGGGTACCTGGGCTAACCATGATGTTGGTTTGGCTGCAGGTACCCAGCCTAGAGAAAGTGCTGGAATTCAAAGCTCACGAAGGGGAGATTGAGGACCTGGCTTTGGGGCCTGATGGCAAGGTGAGGAGGTGAGAGGGTGGAGAAAGTATGTGGTTATGCTGCTTGCTCTGTAATTGGATCTCCTAACTGTCCCTCCTTGGAATCTTGATTCCTGACCAGTTGGTAACTGTGGGCTGGGACCTTAAGGCTTTCGTGTGGCAGAAGGATCAGCTGGTGACACAGCTGCACTGGCAAGAGAATGGACCCACCTTTTCTAACACGCCTTACCGCTACCAGGCCTGCAGGTGTGAAGATCCTGGGGGGTGGCTAAAAAGAGGCTCAACCTAGGTGTGGTAGGGGAGTGGGGAAAGACTTGGGAGAAGCTGGGGAGGATTGTAGCCTTAGCTGGTATTACCTCAGCTCTGACCAGAGTGCCAGAGGATACAAACTCTTGAGGAGGGCTGAGCAGGCCCCAGGAGCTGAACAGCTTCTCACCTGGCTCCCAGGTTTGGACAGGTTCCAGACCAGCCTGCTGGGCAGCGACTCTTCACAGTGCAGATTCCTCACAAGCGTCTGCGTCAGCCCCCACCCTGCTACCTCACAGCCTGGGATGGCTCTACTTTCTTGCCTCTTCGGACCAAATCCTGTGGCCATGAAGTCATCTCCTGCCTTAGTGTCAGGTAGTGCTGGCTTGGCTGCATGTGAGGGTGGCTGGGGAACTCCAGAAGGAGTCCCTGAGGACTGTTGTTGGTGAATGAGTGTTGCTGCACAGGTCTCCAGGACAATGAACATTGTATTGTTTGTTGCAGTGAATCGGGCACCTTCCTCGGTCTGGGCACAGTCACTGGATCTGTTGCCGTCTATATAGCTTTCTCTCTCCAGGTAACAATGGGTAGATGTGGGCACAGCCCTGAGGACTCTTTGGGGTGGGGACTCTAGGCCTGCTTCTACTCTGAGTACAGGACAGAGTCTGGCCCCCTCTGTAGAGGAAAAGCCTTCTGGGAGCAGGGGGCATGTTTTCCAGAAGGAATGTTTCCAACTGAGCCTTCCTTCACTTGTTCTCCTCTTGTCCCTAGCGCCTCTACTACGTGAGGGAGGCCCATGGCATTGTAGTGACGGATGTGGCCTTTCTACCTGAGAAGGGTCGTGGTCCAGAGCTCCTTGGGTCCCATGAAACTGCCCTGTTCTCTGTGGCTGTAGATAGTCGTTGCCAGCTGCACCTGCTACCCTCACGACGTGAGTCATTGGGGTGGGCAGGTACCACCCAACCTTTAGCTATAGCAAACTTTGCTGCAGAGAATGGGTTGCTTGTTTATAGCCATCGGCCCTCTCCTTGATTTGAGTTGGATGAGGGTTCTGTTTTTTGATCTGTAAAACCCCTTTGCCCACTGACTTCTTCCCTCACCCTCCCCTGCAGGGAGCGTTCCTGTGTGGCTGCTGCTGCTGCTATGTGTTGGGCTTATTGTGATGACCATCCTGCTGCTCCAGAGTGCCTTTCCTGGTTTTCTTTAGCCTCCTGCTCCCAGGCAGTCAGGGGTCTGGGACTCTGCCACCTTCTGGACCAGAGTGGAGATCCGGACCCCGTTGCTCACTCCACCTCTACCTGGGTTCAAGCTGAGGTGGCTTCCGATGAAACTTGACAGGAATTGCCTGCCCTTCCCGGTCAAAGCTTGACTGTGGTCCTGTGAAACTGAGTTCTGAGAACCCTGCATTCATCATCTTTGGATCCATCCAGGACAGTGGTGTCCACAGCCCAGGCCACACCACGTGCCTCCTTTTCTTTTTCTACTAGAGGCTCCAGAGTTGAGCTTATCCTGTCTCCAGAAATATGTGAAGATGGCCCCAGAATCTGGAGTTACTGCTGTCC